GAGAGGAGATGTGTGCGTGCGGAGCCGCGCTGCGAGGCATCGGCCGCGTGTGCGATGGAGACGCAGAGGTAGCGTTTTTCTGTTTTCCTGCTTTTCTGCTTCCTGTTTTTCTGTTTTTTTCCTGTTTTTTCGGCGTTTGGGCCGTCTGCACCATCTAGGCTGCGCCGATTTGGTTTTGGATTAGGTTAGGTTAGATTAGAGACGTTGAGAGTTTTTTTATATGTAAAAGAAAATAATCTGTATATCAATCTGTTGCTACCTTTACTACATCTACCTCTCTTCTACCCCTGTTTGATCGGCCTACATTCCTACAGTCCTAACTTCCACTTCTTCTGTCCGGGGGGCCGGGGTGGGGTGGGGGGGAAATTGGGTTGGGTTCGTTGGGGGGCCGGCTGTATTAGGTTCGTCGTGCGGCTCGAGACGAGCTTCGTCGGGGGGCTCATTGCTTGAAGGTGATGGCTTCGGGCGGCGTTGCTTCCCCCACTGATAGGTGAGGTATGTACGGGTGAGGTATGTACGGGTGAGGTATGTACGGGTGACGTTTGTACGGGTGAGGTTTGTGGAGTGTGGAGGTGGCCACTGTTGATTGTGAGTTGAGGTTGTGAGGTGCGGCTAAGAGCCGTACTTGTCCCCTGCCACAACGTTGTTCAGAGTTTCCAAGGTTATTTGTCGAAGTATGAAGTGAAGCCTCCAGTAAAGCCTCCAAGTGTGCGTGCATAGTTGTGGAGTGATGAAGCGGTGCAGTCGTGGTGCACTTAAAGGTGTGAGGAAGATGGTTCTCTGGAGTCAGTCAACAGTCAACCTCTTTAGTGCCGATTACTGCCGAAAAAGCCATTCCCTGGGATTTCAGTTGAGAATTCAGTTAGTAAACGGTTTTTCTAACTACCTATCAATCAACTGCGGGCCGTTGTCTTCCCCAACTCCATCCTCCCCTATTCCGGCAAGTGGCCCAACCCGCAAATTTCCTGCGGCGACTGTCGCGATTATATATTCCTGGAGCATCTTTCTATCTTTCGTTCTGCCTCTCTTTCCAACCCTCTGTATCGGCATCACTCGTCTTGTGGTCGTCTTCCGAACCCTCGAAAATCTAGAGAGGGAGGGTGTAGCAGCTGACCGCTGAAAAGGTCTCTCGAGTTGCTGGTGCGTAACCGAGCAGGCGAACCAAGAGTGTGCAAATCCTTTGCCAACTTGTACAACCAACAACTACCAACATACCATTCTCGTCCGTCCGTCACCACCTAGTCACAAACACCGAGTTTACATGTGTAAACCGTCCACCAACTGCCTAACAAAAATATTTTTGTACCACCAAATCGCATCTTGCTCGTGACATGACGTACAGAAGCTGGTTGCCAAGGTTGGTGATGCTGTCGACGCGGTGAGTACGGCAGGGTACGGCAGGGTACGGCTGCCATGACCCAAAAAAATATTTCCCATCATGAATTATACATAGGGCCTCTCCGCACGCATTCAATAGTCCAACCACATCCTCACGCACCCAACAACCTCCTCACCTCCTCCTACAGGCCCCCCTTCACCGCCCGATGTGGCCCCTCAGGGTCTCAGGTCGCTGTCCATTGCCGACAAAGCCAAGGTGCCCATGTGCTTCGGAAGCGACTTGCTAGGGAACATGCATCCTGCACAGGTACGGCACCGTACGGCACCGCTTCGGTACGGCACAATCTCTGGGGTATCATAGGTACGATGGTGAAGTACGTGTGGCCACGGGGAATGAGGTTGGTCTGGCTGGCCGTGTCCCGGTGTCGGTGCCCTTTAATGCGCTACGTCTTCAAACCGGAGTGCGAGTGCTCTGTTCTGTGTTGCTACGCTGCATGTGCGCTTATTGGTTAGCTGTTCGAGCTCTATTTGGCTAGATATGTTGTGCGGTGTGTTGGGATAACAAATGTCTGACATATCTTGACGTCCTGTGTGCATGAGTGTGCGTGTGTATGCGTGTGTATGCGTGTATATGTGTGTGAGCGTGTGTGTATGTGTATATGTGTATGTATGTGTGTGTGTGTAAAAGCGAACCCATGTATTGAACACATATGTATGCGCGCGCGTGCATTACCTTAGGCTGGCGAGTTCGAGCTACGAGCACGTGTGCTGCCATCCGCCTCCATCTTGCGCTCGGCCACCGTCAATTGCGCGGCACTGTTCGGGATGAAGGTCAGTTCGTACATGTACGACACACGTACGACATGACATGGATATTTAGTAGTTCACTATTGCGCAGTGATGTGCATATGCTGTGAGCACGTCATAGTGGGAGAGAGCGGGGTGGGGTAACGGCTGCAGTAAAATTGCCGTAAAGGCCAAGCTGACTGACATGAGTGAAAAAATATTGTGAAGATATATATCTTGGCTTTAAATTCCTGAAAAGAAAAGGGTGACTTCGCAACTTGTTCAATCGTGCAATAAATGAGGCGCGCGCTGTCCGGAGCAATTAATATATATAACCCTAATCGCAGTTCCACAAAAACGCTAGAGCCTGAACGAACGAGCCTCTCCTCCCCCAGAAACCCAAATCGCCGTAATAGCTCCGAAAATAAATAAAAATTTCCTCCCAAATGTTTGAGGGATTTCAGGAACAGTAATATAATATCCGCATATATGCGCATGTGCACATGCTCATGCGTGCGGTGCCCTGCCGCCGCCGTGTCACACCTCAGAAACTGAGCCGACCTTCTGCTGCTGCGGCCCGGCCTGGATCCGTTGGCTGACGTGGCGGTGTTGGCGGCTCCGGGGGGCGGTGCGGTGGCGGCGGTGTTCAAGGACGGACTACTGGCCACTGCTACGGGCTTGTGAGAAAGGAGGGGCCTGGATGCACCTGGGTGCAGTGTATTTTATTTTTATTGGCGCCCTTGCGAAATAATGTGACTGGCTGGGGCCGGTGGCGTTTGGATGGTATATGTGTGCGCTGGACTTTGGGATTATGTTTTGTCCTCAGTAGTTTTTTTTTCTTTCGTGCTTCTGTGTGGGAGTAGAATCACGTCCTGTTGCTTTTTCTGTGTTGGATAATGTGCGAGAGGGATATGAACTTTCTCGAAGGTTCCTTTTGGCTGTAGATTCAAATAGGTGTCGGCCGAGCGAGGAGTCGGTCAAACGCTTTTCTTCACTGAAGGCTTTGTACTTACGTTCTTGCGTGCACCGATTAACATAGCAACAAGTAGTGGCATTCTGGTGCTCATTATGGTGATAGAACGCTGTGCTCAAGGCGTTATAAGTAATAACAACATGTCAAGCGCTACAGCTCCGGTGGTCCGCCTCGCAGCATGGGCTTTGGGAGATGCGATTGTTACAGTGGACCCCGAACGGGTCGAGTGCAGCGCCCATAGGAGCGCCTCCCGCACAACACTGTGGGCCTTATTCAAAAAGAACTCGGCCAGGCCGTACTAACTTCACTGGACACACGGCCTCAGTTAGTACGCTTAAACAGAAAGCCACGCTCATTCTTGCTCGGGTGGTGCTATCAACCAGGGGAAGACCGCGTCCCTCAAGTGCCGGCCTGCAAGATACAAGATCAATGATTTTAAGTAGGCAACGTTTCAAAGCCAAGCCAAGTTGGGCCCACCATACCAAGCCCAAGCTTGTAAACCAACATACCTGTCCTCAATCTCCTTCAAACTTCAGCGCATGTTGCAGACCCGCATGCAGCTGCCGAGCCAGGCCCTCCTCCTTTTTCCGATGGCGATCGCGCACCTACATAAAGAGGACACCGCTACTTTCCATCCATGCAAAAACACTATTCATGCTGTAATCACCCAGATTTAAACTCACCAGCCCGTTGATGAAGTCCTGGCGTGCAGCTGGGGACATATACGCCGTGATGTACCAGTGTCTCCGATTGTCTGCCCAAAGGTGCTCGATTAGGTCCCCGAATGTGAGCCCCAGTCCAGGCATGTAGCGTGAGTTGCAGCGGACATTGCACTCAGGCTTGTGTGGTCGGATGTGCCATGGTCCGATGGCGAAGGGCAGACCAGCAGGCAAGTCCAGCTCCTCATAGATCCTGTGGAAAACAAGGCAACAGATATTCAGCTTCTTCGCAGGGGAAAAGCTTAACTCAAGTTAAAATCTGAAAGGGACTAAACTCCCAAACCCTGACCAACCCCAGGGATGGATATAAAATGGAGACCTCAGCCTGTCAACTCAGGTTAACTTGAGCATGTGCACATTGTGTCCCCAGAAAGCTTACCTCTTGTAGTAGCCCTCAAACTTGCACGCGACATCCAGGAACACTGCCTTGACAGATGCCAGATCCATCCTCTGCTTCAGAGCTTCCAGCAGCACCTCGTAGTACACAAAGTCCTCCTCTGTATGCAGGCTCACCATGGCCGGGACGAAGCCATGCCTACAAGCAAATGCTGCGACACCAAGGCGATCATAGTTTGCAGCACGCCGCCCGAAGACCTTTGCAGCTTTGAACTTAGAGCAAGAAACAGCATCTGGGTCCGCCATCTTTCCACGCTCCTTCAGGCGCTCCATCACCAACTTCTCCGAGATAAACAAATCACCAGCCGCGAGGGGTTGCAGGTCGAGGGAGCCACTGGCCGCAGCCTTAAAGTGCCGAAGGCCCAGGCATGCGTCGCCTGACACAGCAACACACTGCCGCCAGCAAGCAGGGCAGTCCATCCAGCGGCCACCACCAGCTGCTGCTACTGCACCAGCAGCAGCATCCGAGGTACTGGCTCCTCTGGTGGCATTGCTAGGCTCCAAGGCAAGGATGTCATCTACACCCAGGAGCTCACAGGTTCGCATCAGG